CTACCTGGAGAAACCGAGACATTGTCTGAGCACGCTGAGAAAGCTAAAATTCAGTTGGAACCAAAACTGGGATGTAGGGAAATCTGATTAGATATAAGAATTATTTTCCATCATTCAAAACAGCTGCACAGAGACATTCCATCCTTGAAGACTCGACAAAGCCCTGAGCAACCAGCTCTATTTGGGAGGCTGGACTAAATGACATGGAGAGCCCCTTCGTACCCTTAACGATTCTACGACAYAGTTTTACCTGACTACATCAAACACTGAAGCTTTTCTGTTTATCTGCATTGCATATCTATCAGAACATGTTTTACAAATTAGTCACAGAAGTCCTGGTGCATGCGATGTCTCGGGGTTTAGGGTTTTTTTTTCTGCTCTCGCATGACAAGAAAAAGAAGAGTGTCTATCACACTAACAAAGAAAAAAAAAGATGTCAAGAGAGATGGCAATTTTCYTTTATAAAATAGATTGCCATGAGTGCACATAACCTTTTATGGAGAAAGAGAAGGGGAAAATGTTTGCAAGATCACTTGTCTGATTTGTTAACCAGTTAAGGAAAAACTGCTCTATAAATACTGCAAAGACTCGATATATAAACAGATAATCATGCAAAAGAATTGCAGACACTGCAACAGCWAATTGTCCCTGTATAAACTATATAAGCATTTGTTTTACATGAATTACACCACTCTTCAGCTGACACAAGTCAGRTTCTCTCCTTTCTTACTGTGGCAGATGTTGAGCTACAAATAAAGCATGTTCTTTTGCTAGGAGTCTCTCCCTCAGGAAATCAGTGTTGGAAAATACAAAATATATTAGCTAAATTATTGGCTAGACCTTTGCAAGTGTGATTTAACCAATCTAATTGATGAAAGCTTGTTTAAGAGAGATCCAGAGACCACTGCACAGGCAATTCAGATGTGAACTCCCCCTTTTATTTTTACGAACTACTAATATTAGAAACAACATCCCTTTCTTGACTTGTATTTAATTTAATTGTATAGACTGAGCTAACTGATTTTCACTTATTAACAGAACACGTGAATACATGCGTTACTAGTGGATACAGATACAATTTGTTTTACACAGCTTGCACTGTACAAAACAAATTGAATCCCCCCAAACAGATTGGAATTGCTTGGGCAGCACCAACAATTGCTATAATCAATACTAAAGGTTGGAATCATCTGCTCAGAGGAAGTCGAAGCAGCACAGGCTGCACTTTGTGGGAATTCAGTGAGTTTTTAACAGTTTGAGGAAAATATGCACACAATAGTAAAAGCAAGTCCTGATTAATGTCACTGATGCTACACACCCTTTCCTCAGATGTTTAATTCCGAAAAGATTTGAAGATATTTACAATCAGCAGTAGCCCAAGGAGCCCTAAGGATAATGGGCCCAGATATCTATTAAACATCTGGTAACCGTCTTTGCAAGCAGCAGAACAGGCACGTAATATTAACCGGTGATCTGGGATTCATGCTTTATTTCTGAAGAGGAAATGCATGTCTCCAGGGACATTCSATTATAAAGGAACTCAAACCATCACATCAGGAAAAACCTTTATTTAAAATGTTAATTACTAAAATAATTGCAGCCAGTATAAACTATACAACACAGAGGAACTGCTGGTGCAGTTTGAAAGGTAAAAATATTTTAGCGCATTTGGCATTATAATTCTCATTTCTCCTACTTTACGGGATTTGCATTACTGGCACTGACATATATAAYAGCAGGAAAACACAACCACTTAAACGATGCTTCAATTCATGAACCGCAGGAACAGCTAACAAAAACACTGACAGTTTAGAAACTGTTTTGTCAGATATGCTAATAYTTTGCAGCACTCTCCAAAATTGTTATCTGGTGAAAAGATACCTACAAAAGCAAAATTCCTACAGTTTCATATGCAGTGTGATATTTTATCAGCTGGAAAAAAAAAAAAAGACAGAAGAGTTTATAGACCATTAGAAAATCTCTGTCTTTTCAGAGGCAAAGCTCTAGTTCCTGGTAAATACATAAAGTTAACAGATATCAGCCCTCAGACTTACCAGTTCAGCACCAAATATTGTCCTATACTACTATCAAGCAGGAATAAATTTTCCATGTTTAATGGAAATTYGTCACAGGAATATAGCCATGGCCCCAATATATGTTGGAATAGGCTACACTGAGTGTATCTCTTCTTCAACTCCATTTGGTACTGGATTTACAAATATATTTAACCACTTCTAACCACCAGCCCTCTAACGAACTCTCTCAACATCCGCTTCACACACACACACAAAGACATTTGGTTTCAGGGATAACAAACATATGGATACAATTTAGCCATGAAACAGAAACCAATTTAAGGTYAGTTTTCTCATAATCAAGCCAGGAATAGATAAGCATCAGTAGAAAGACAATACTTCTGTTTTGGTATTTGTTCTTGGCCTTCAAGAGTCCTCATATATCAAATCTTAATTATGAAGTTCCATTTTAAGGTAACCTTTAACACTTTAAGTAACATGCTACTTGATGATTTCTCTGCAGCACTTCTACAGGATGGACCATCCATAAATTGTCCTTATAAATCTGAGTATGCTTTAAAAGAAAAAAACAAAGGAACAGATAATAAGCATACTAGCATACACTTTATTTTTTTACAAAATGTCACCACTTCATAAGTAAACACCACAGTGAATCAAATTTGTTGCAGAAGAAAATTGACTAGTTGGTTAGGCTTTACTCAGAATCCTTGAGAGACAGGATTTTCTCCTAGTGGTTTTGACAATGAGGAAAAAACAAACCACAGTCTTTGCAGGAAAAAAATACCTTTACCTTTTTCTGACTAATAGAAGTGAWGTGATAAAAACTAAAAGAATACGCCAAGTGAAACCATATTCAATAGGGAAGGGAGTGAGTTAAAATGTCTGGACTCTTAAATGATGGACACTAGAATCATAAATGAAGGAGAGAKAGCATTTTTCCACAACTTGTTTCGGGAAAAAAATACCTTTCTAATCAAGCATACATTGTTCAGAATGAAGCACTTGGAAATAATTAGAAGAGAGACTTCCCACTTCAGTAAGCAGAAAAAAAAAAATCTGTCTATCCTTAGAAAGGGATGCAGTTACAATTTACAGTCCTAAATCAAATCAGCCTAAGAACATGGATGTTTGATGGGAAGTTTGCAGGACAAGTGCAAATCTTCAAAAGCTGACAATTTTTTTTTTAGTTTGAAATTTTAAATTTTTGATGCAACATATTACGGCCCCTTCTCCCACAAACAGATTTTTGGATAGGAATTTAATCTACTGAATCTTTCATTTACTCTTGAGTCTATCAAGACTGACTACTGCAAGTGTCGTTTCTTCCTTATAAACCATCTATAGCATCAAATTTCATGAGCCTGTTTGACCATAACCATATTTTTGCTACTGTTCACATTGGGCTTTCCCAACAAGCACGTTGTAGTTGACAGCTGCTGTCGTGATTTTAGAAGATATTTTCAGAATTCATCCCRAATATCAGCCTCATGCCCCAAATATGCATTTCCTACTGCATCATGATGCAGATTGCCCTGCCAAAAGACTCTCCTTCCTAAGGCCYAGTCTCACTTGACTGTAAGAACCAAGAGTCAATGTGCACACAGTGATGTTCTCTTGACTGAGGCAACCCTTGTGCCTTCTCCATGTGGTTTCTTCTGTCAGAGAGTGCTTCTGAAGTAAATCTGCTCATCATCTCCCCTAGCTCAATTTGGGTCATACTGCAGGGCACTGTTGGAGGGAAATTCATTCTCCAGCCACTAAATGCCATTGACCAGTCCAGAGGACCATATTTGATAGCCCTAAGTAATGCTTCCCCATAAATGTGGGCAACAGGACCTGAGTACTGCTGTCCTCCAAAGATCTGCTGCTACTGCACTTTGCTCATGTTGACACAGCCGTTAAAAGGAAGCAAGACTTTCATGAAAGCTATCTAAAGTCCGGCTTCGGGAAAGGAGTGTGGTTTGGGTATTGCTTTGGTCCAGAAATGATTCTTCTGATGATGTTGTTTCCCAAGTATTTATTAGTAAATTTGCAACATTATATGCTGGACATGAACTTCTTTCTCCTATCCTCCTTGACAGCCCTCCGTAACCTTCCTACCTGTYGTCTCCTCAGTCCTGTCATCTCCTCCTGACTTCAAGTGCTTCAAGTCATTGAGAGAGCACAAAGGGCTGGTACCAGAAAGATCCTACTTCCTCGGAATTTCCATTGTGTTCTACCATATTTCCAATCTGCTTTTCCTTAAAATGCATTTTCCCTCAACTCCTACTTACCCCATTGGTGATAATCTTAGGAAAACGACATCAACATGAAAGAAAAACAGAAAGAAGATGCAAGGGTGCAGATATGCTGACCGTTTTGCTTTCCAGGGTGCCCTAGGGCACCATCCTTTCACGCTGAACACACAGGCCGCCAAGCCAGCCGGCTCTGGGCGCCGGGAATGGTTTCCAAAGGGCACCGGCAGCCCTCGCAGGAGCCTCGCGCGGGGCTGCTGCCGCGTTCAGCCGCTGCCAGCTTTGCCGGGAGCGGGGAAGGGCTCAAAAAGCCCTGCCGGATGCAGCGGAGGCGGCTCCCATTGGGGACCCCCAGGGGCTAAGGGGACCCCTCGATGTGCGGCGCCCCGTCGCTGCGGCCACGTCTCCAAGGGCAGCGGGAGGCCGAAGTGCCGCAGGGGGGGC